AGTTATTTCATTTATATCATGTATTTAGCACAATTTTCAAGGAATTGTGTAGTTTAAATAGTAGTTTTATCACATTATGAGCTATATTTTATTTTAGTAGAGTTATTTCCGCTTAGCAGCGCTCTTACCTGAATACAATGCATGTCATTGTTCTTTAATCTGTTTTGCAATGTCAGCATTTCAACATTCTGCAAGTGGTGTGAGCTTCCAAGTATGTGCAAGTTACATCAGATCTGTGGAGAGGCGAGCCCGCTTAATTCTATTTCAGAATTTTTCGCTGTAAAAACAAAACATTCCTGGGATGAGATTTGTCAGATGATAACAATACTTACAATTTATGTGGAATATTCCAGGAAAAGCAGAAACATCTCCATGGAGACACGTAGGTGATGGACCCTCAAACAGAAAAGTTACATAGAGCACTTTTAATAAGAATTTCAAATGTCATTACATGAAAATACTAAAATGATTCAATTATGTAAGTTAATTGACCCAAAACAGTTATTAAGTACTTGTAGTAAGAAAAACAAAAGTAAAACTGAAAAAAAAAACACAGGCATGGTAACATTATTGCACATCAGGCGCATAACAGAAACACAATACAATATCATATCATACAGTACAATATCAACACACACAGTGAAACCGTACAGAAAACTCAAGTAATTACTTGTCCACCCAAAAGACAAAATAGAATTGGAGCATAAATGTAATGTCAAATACTCTGCATGTCCTGCAATAAAACACATATCGGGGAAACACGGAGGGCGTTCAGTACTTGAAAAAAGGAACATAAATCGACCATTTCTGACCACTGTAAATGAGAGAACCACATTATGAACAGGACTGGAGCAAACATCATTGGGGCAGAGGAAAACAAACATCGTGGCCGGATAAAAGAGGCAATCGAAATACGGAAACATGCCCACAGGACTGTAAACCGGGAAGAGGGGGCTTTTTTACTCTCACACACTTGGGAAACTATCCTGAAGAAGTTGGACTGCAGGTGGCGCTGTCATCCTGCCTCCACCGGAAGGAAGACAGCACCAAAACTTGTATAAATCAGCTGACCGGAAACGTCACAGCAACATCATGTGACCACTCTGGAGAAGACCAGTGAGAAGTCAAAACTGTCAGAAATGAAAACCAAACTCTTAGTCTGAAAAATAAACCTAATAACATACTTGTAGTTTTGTTCGCTAGTTTTATTCCTATGACAAGCTGATCATATTTTTTGTGTTTTTTGTATGTTTTGTGTGTGTCACTTGAGGATTTTTCACCAAATAAACAAAACATTCCTGAGATTAGCTAGATAATAACAGAACAATGCCATACTGTGGAAGAATCCAGGCAAAGCAGTAACATCTCAATGGAAACAAGTAGGTGGCAAACCCTCCACCAAAAAGTTACATAGTGCACCAGCTAATAAGAATTTCTAGTGTGGTTACATGAGATTACATGAGAAAAATTATGTAATTATGCAAGTAAACCAAAACCAAACTGTTACTCAGTGTTTGTAAGAGGACCCAAACCAGTGGACGAAACTACAAGTTGGTCATATTTTTTTTTTAAGTATCTCTTGCTCTTTCTACATTTTTAATTTATGTTTAGCGTGTGTTATGTTGGCAGCCTGAAGTTATCCACAACACAATGGGACAGAATGTGCTGATGCAGCTGAGTCATGGGAGTGACGGAGCAGACATGACTGGAGGTGGCAGGCAGAACTCGGTGCCCACTTTTGGTGCCAATGTTAGCACAGGAATGGGCCCTGAACCACACAGGCTATGACAGGCCACTATAGTGAGAAGATTTACTCTAGAATGGTGCAATGAGACGACTCAGCTTTGTCACACGTCTATTGGCAAATGTATTAAAATGTACATTAAATGGTGACATATCATGTACATTGCTTAAGGTACAGTACATTAAGTGCTGTGTATGATTCATATAAGTTACTGGCATGTTGCTACTAGAAGTGGGTATTACAGCATCTGCAACATAGTCAAATGTGTGCTTTTTGGTGCAAAAGTAGAATAAATTATAATAAGGTATCTATCAAAAAGCTACATACAATTAACTTGCAGTGTAATTTATATGGTGTTTCATTTTACAACCCATTGACTTTTTGCATGAGACTTGAACCTTAAAGATCTTATATTACGCAAAATTGACTGAAGAAGGCAGGTTCAAATGTTATCTCTACAAAAACATACCTGGAATTGTGTTTTGTTGTGTTTCTTTTATTAGTCTGTCTGCATCCTCAAACCAAAAAGCTTCTGATCTCATGAAGCTGTAGTTTTCAAGTTAGTAACTCCTTTTACCTTTTGTTCTGTAAACATCGGCAAGTCCAGCGCTGAAATTATCCAAACGGTTCTCATGAAGGTGTATGAAGTTTAAAAACATATTGGAGCACTAAATTCACAGAGTTTGTGTGTTAAACATGTGTGAATGAAACAAAACGCAACTCCAGGTCTGTTTGTGATGAGGAAACAACATTATAACATAGATCAGAAAATGCTGTCTTTGAAATGAGAAATGTATACAATATCATTTATCTATATATCTATCTATACCATTCCTATAGTTTCGTATGAGTTAACTCTGTGGAGTAAGTGTATTTAAAATGTACAGTGTAGGATAATAGTAAGAATAGTGGACAGAAATCATGACTCTTGAATTTGACAAGGACTTCTTAATATTTGTTAGTAGTGCCATATGAACCATCTTGCACTTTGAGGACCTCAGGAACCGGCCTCCTGCTGGTGCCCAGAGTCAGGATTAAACACGGGGAGTCGTTTCAGATTCATGCAGCTAAAACCTGGAACAGTCTTCCTGAACATGTTAGACAGGCCTCTACTTTGACTCTTTAAATCCAGGCTCAAAACAGTTCTGTTTAGCTGCAAATGACTGAAAGGTTTTTATTCCACACTCTTCTCTCTGGTTTATGTAATTAATCTCTCTCTCTCTTTTTAATTTTATGATGATTATTTATCTTTTGATTTGTTTTTATTGTGATTTTAATGTATTTCTTATTCTGTAAAGCACTTTGAATTACTTTGTGTACAAATTGTGCTATACAAATAAACTTGCCTTGCCTTGGTTGAAAGGAATATTTGAAGACATATTAAACTCTCGGAAGAAACAATGTATTTATATTTACTTTTTAGATATTTAGATATTATTCTTTCTAAATAGCTGCTTTATCTGCTTGTCTGCTTTCATAAATCGGACCAGGCTTAATCTGGAACTTCATATCTACCTATCAAAAATTATATTTAAACATATTATTTGTTTTGTGTTGTTCAGGCTTTTTACTTCCCGTTGACGACCTATTATGTACAGTTATGTTAATACAGTTTATGACTTTTGTAATTTGTTCTGCTTTTCCTGTTTCTAGTCATGAATCACTGCTGTGTCCCTGCAGAGCCACCGTACTCCTGCTGTTCAAATGCCCAGGTGGTTGTGACGTGAGCAACTCCAGTGCACTTTCAACATCAGAGAAAAGTATGTGTATTTATAGTTTGGTCATAAAACAACCACTGTACATGTCATTTAGAGGGAAGCTTTGGTACAGTTAATGTTTTTGAAACGGTATAAGAAAGTATAACCAAGAAACCTAACTGAAGAATATGCTTTCAGTTAGAAAATGGACACCAAAGTAATTGAGAAACCAACACTAACCAGCTAGTGATGTTGCAGAACTGTTGAGGAACCATTTTATATTTGCACTTCACTTTTATTAGCATGAAGCTAGCTCTGTCAAAACAAAACAACCTATTTTACAAGAGAATCGGTGTAATGTCCTTCATAGCTCAAAATCAACCAGTGTAAATTCTATCCTACACGTCAGAAAACTACTACTGATACTGCCAGTACTACTACTTCTACCATTTTTACTATTACTTTTACTGCTTCTTCTACTACTACTACTAACTACTACTTCTTGTATTAGCCTACTACTACTTCTATGACTACTACGTCTACTATTTTTACAACTACTTTTACTACCTCTTCTTCTTCCTGTACTACTTGTACTACTACTATTTTACTACTTTTATTACTTTTACTACCACTATTTCTGCTATTAGCCTGTTACTTCTACGACTACTACTTCTAATATTTTATCTACTACTTTTCTACCTCTTTTGCTGCTTCTTCTACTACTACTACTACTACTACTATTTTACTACTTTTATTTCTTTTACTATTTTTTTTCTTGTATTAGCCTACTACTACTTCTACGACTACTACTTCTACTATTTGTACTATTACTTTTACTACCTCTTTTGCTTCTTCTTCTACTACTACTTCTACTATTTGTACTACTACTTTTACTACCTCTTTTGCTTCTTCTGCTACTACTACTACTACTACTACTACTTCTACTACTATTTTTATGACTTTTATTACTTTTACTACTACTTTTTCTTCTATTAGCCTACTACTACTTCTACGACTACTTCTACTATTTTTACTACTACTTTTATTACCTCTTTTGCTTCTTCTATACTTCTACTACTACTGCTGCTACTACTACTACTGCTACTGCTGCTACTACTACTACTGCTACTGCAACTACTACTGCTACTACTACTGCTACTGCAACTTCTACTTTTACTACTACCACTTCTTCAATGATATTAGCTTAGTAAGCATTGCACCTGTTTCTGTATTTTCTCTTTTGCTGTGTCTTTTCCAATACTTTGAAAACAGAAAACCAAATGCATTTTAAAATCTATCCTCTCAACCATGAAACACACAAGCCCTTAAGAAATCAGGTGGACCAATTCTGATTTCATGCCATATTTTTTCAAATGACAGCTTTGCAGATAACGCCCTAGCGCTGCCCATGATCCTTTTCTCAGAGGGATGATTTGATCCAGGAAGTGTGCATTTGTGTGTGTGTGCTTCTTGGGTGAGTAACAGTGGAGGATTCTGGGGGGGCGTGTTCGGGGATAGGACTGGACACGCCTCTTTCATGCATGCGGATGTTGTTGCAGGGTATAAAGTGGAGGGTGTAAGGGGCATTTTGTGCGGACAGTGGAAGAGCAACAGCAGGCAGTCTCCTCTCTCTCTCAGCATCTGTAAGAGTCTTCTACAGGTAAGAAAGCCAACCAGGGACAATTTTAGTTCTAGTCTGTCTGAAATGTATGTACTTTAATTTTAAATCTTTATAATAATGACTGTCTGAACTTTGCAAAACTCTGCATCTCTAGTTATGTCCTTATTGCTACTGTTTTATGGCAATCAGAGACCAGATTGATTTAAGTCTGTTGGTCTAAGCTGTGGCTTTTTGAACAGATAAGTTCTGAAATTGTTTTTTTTTTTTTTCCTACAAAAATCTACTTTGTGATGATAAAGTTAGAATGTCAATGAATAACATGATGCAAAAGAATATTACATTTGTATGCAATTGGTATAACTTCTTGTGCAAAAAATGAACGAAAAAAAGTCAATTTTACTGATTAAAAAGTAATTTGCAAAGTATTTTCTGTATTCTCTCATCGTAACCTTCCATCTCGATTGCTTTTGTTCATTTATTAGTTTAAAATCCAGTCCAAACTACAATCTCATCTTGAAGTCTATGGAAAATTCCCTAAGTGCACCTGCACCCAAGAAATCGTATGATAGGTGGATGGATGGGTGGTTTGATTGCTTCTTAAAATTTCATTATTTTGGGTGTGGCTGGGAGTTATTTTCTTGGACATGTACCAATACTTTTCATATAAGTTTCACGTTTTTCTTAGGGCGTTTTTGATTATTGAAACTTTTGTAACTGCAGTCCAAATCTGTAAACCAAAACCTGACATTACTGGACTCATATTGCATGCAATGTCTAAACTAACTTCCTCAGCCACTTCACTTTTTGCATTATAGAAGCAATTCAAACATAATTGTGTGTCCTTCCACTTAAAGCAATACTTCCTTAATATAATAACTGGTGTATCATTGCATCGTACGACACTTGCAAAATCACTACTGCTTTTTGGATCATTTGATATCTGATGTAAACGAGTATATATATATTTTAAAAGCACATCTTACAGGTGTTGCTTGTATTTGTTTGTCTATCTGTCAGCCCTTTTAAACTTCATAAATGACACACCCCCTTTCAGACCTTACACTTTCAGGACACTCCCAGAGAGTCTGTGATGTAACCTGTAAAACTACACCCCTGTACTTCAGGTTCTGCAGCATAAACACACACACAGAGCTGTTCTAGGTATAGGAAAGACCATTTAAAAGAATTAGGGCAAATCTTAATCCAGTCTATCATCACTGGCAATACATGGCTCTGGTACAGAGTGACAGCACATAGTTAAGCTTTTGTAGTGTTTTTGATTTGGGAGTAAACAAAATTCTCTCAAGGACTTGTATTATTGTTTTATTTTATTTATATGTTTTTTGACATTCAATATGGTTTACTGCTAACATATATGGAGCAGACCTAATTGTGCATTTGACATTAGGGCTATATATTTTTTGCTTTGTACCTGATTTTTACTGTGAAATGTGAAAAACAGAACTGTTGAGCTAACCATGTACTTCCTGATTATCAGACAATGAAACACTTTATAATTAGATGCAAACAGATCACAGCGTACATATTTGGACCTTAAGAACTGCTTATACAATTTATCTGTACAAGGGCAAGACAGATTTTTTACCAAAAAAGATACAAGGCCTTTAAATTTAAATACTGTAATAATTCAGGTAAAGGATGCAGTGGGCACATTTGCAATAAAGAAGCTGGCCATGCCTCACCTGAAAGCTCAAAACCTTCAGAATTCCCTCACTGAGCTGCAGAGGTTGCACTGGCACTGATTCATGAGCTGCAGGTTTTGGAGTTTAGGAAGTGACACTTCAGATAATCATTTTTGGCATAATCAGATTTTGCATATGTATTTTCTTGTGTTAATTCCCACTCACACAAACAGTGCAGCTATAGCCCTGTGCTCGCCTCTGTGGTGTTACCTGAGGTCGCATGTTGTTACGGCGTCCCTGTGGTGCTTGTGTTAATTGCTCTGGTGCCCCCCTCAGGCCCAAAGCGTCATGGCAGCCCAAATATTCAAAGGCGCTGGGGAGAAGCCCGGCCTGCAGGTGTGGAGGGTGGAGAAGATGAGTCTGAACCCGGTCCCCAAGGAGCTCTACGGGAACTTCTTCAGCGGAGATGCCTACATAGTGCTCTACACCACATCTGCCCCGTCCTACAATGTCCACTCCTGGGCAGGTATGGGACAGCTACAGTAGCACGCACCAATGTCTCTAAACTGGGGTACAAGGGCGTCATTTCATTTGTTTATTTGAACTAGAACAGAGCTTACTATAGATGGACAATTTATACTTTGCAGTCGATGTCACCAACACTCCCCGAAGGTGTGATGCTAACTAAAGGCACTACTTTGTCTGCGATTTACTTTAAGACAGAAAGAGCTGATTTAGCTGGAACTACAACAGGTGAAATAATTTGTGATGTTAAACAAGTTGGCAAGCATTAGTTATTAGGTAGTCAAATCAAAACCCTAAACAGGATCATGAACACTTATTGCTTAAATGTATTTTGTATTTTTTGTTGAGTTTTTTGACATTCCACCATAAAGATACATGTAGACCCCAGCGTAATGTCACTGCAAAGTATTAATTTATCCGTTCCAGTATTGGTATTGCCCGATATTCAATACCAATATTCAATACCAATATTTTGGCACTGCCCCATTCTCTGTGTGCCCCTTTTGAACAGACTAAGTCTAAAAGGAAGCGATGTTTTAAGGATTTAGGTTTACAAAAACATGTAACAAATTATTTTATATCAGTGTTATATTACGGCTTTTTAAAGCTAATATCAGTATGTGCAAGAGGTTCCACACATACCCTCACTTTAGGAAATAAAGTTGTCAATCTCCAAGTTTGCTGAAAAGTCAGATTATTATTTTTGATTCTTTCTCACAGGTATCGATTCGTCCCAGGACGAGAGCGGGGCGGCGGCCATCTTGATGATGCAGCTGGACGAACATCTGGGGGGCAAACCTCGTCAGTTCACTGAGTTTCAGAACGAGGAGTCCATCACCTTCACCGGCTACTTCAAATCAGGCATCAAGTACAAGGTCAGCTCTGCCCTGTTGCATTTGGCATATTTACAATTCACTGCTAAAATAAGAAGTCATAATTTTGTAGTTTTTCAAGATTTCAGTGGCTGAGGGGCACAGACCACCCCTGGAATCTGACTAGCTAGTTCACCCAAAGGGACCGAGGCAGTGTATTTTATGTAATTTTACTCATAATATCACACCATATTTAAAAATAGATCATATAAAATATATTTAACATTTAAATATATTTATGTGTACACAAATCACCAAAAATATATCAGCTTTACAGTGAATACACAATTTTAAATAATAAGGATTTACTCTTTTGTTATCATTTGAAAATATATTATGAGTAAAGCCACACAAAAATGGTTATTTATCCCCAATATTGTGCCCCAGCCCTTCTGAGTGTGGTGGCACCTGCTGTAGCACAGATTAATTTACAAGAAAAAAGTTGTGTACCGTATCTTTAAACGATAATCAACAGTTATTTATTATGTGAATACATTATTCAATATGTGTGTACCCTGCAAAATATTCTAAACAAATGGACATTTTTAGCCTGTAGTAGATATGCTACAGTTTTGCTATTTCAATACTATACGCGCAGAAATATATGTATTTTTTTACTTTTCTGTCCCCAGAAAGGAGGAGTGGCTTCAGGCTTCAACCACGTTGTTACTAATGATATCAAAGTGGAGCGCCTTTTACACGTAAAGGGGAAGCGCATCGTCAGAGCCACTGAGGTCCTCTTTTCCTGGGAGTCTTTTAACACTGGGGACTGCTTCATCATCGACCTGGGCTCGGTACTGCTCCAGTAATAATACTGTAATGTTCTTGTAGGAATATAAAAAGGGCCTGCCCTGTTTCCTTTTTTGTTATTTTCAGTTGCAACAAATAAACAAAAAATCTATACAAGAGAGTAAATAGAAAAGTTTTTGTTTGCTCTAAGATTTAATTACTATTTGGAATCTTCTGAATATTTTCACATTAGCATATTTTTGGGTCAAGCATATAACTTGATCTGTTTTGGATTCATTCAAACAAATTGTTATTGGGATAATGGAAAAAAAGAAAGAGTATTCGATATATTATAGGGACACTGAATATCAAATTTTTCCTACATTTACCCAGACAAAGCTGAAGTGAGGTTGTTTGAGGACATCCTGAGAGAATATATATTTACAAACATACTGAGAAATGACTTCCAGATGGCAAATATGTCCATTTCAAAAACACAGTTCAAATGACTGCCTTTGGCATCTTTTCTAGCATACTGACTGACTTGCAGACAGTTTAATCAAAAACACAAAATACCATTTTCTCATGTTACTTTCATGTAATTATTGTTCTGAGTCAGCTCATGCCTTTTAAAGTCTGTTAATAGACCATTTATTGATTATTTGATTACTAAATTAGACCGTTGTTTCATTAATTGATAAGTTGCAATTAATCGAATAACTTGTTTCAACCTTGATTCACTGTCATCAACATTGCCCATATATAAATACAGTAGTTTTGTATTTAGAATTAGGTCTGTAAGATAATTAACACTGTGATTCTGCAGGTCATAATATTATCATGTATTTTCCCAAACTAGAACATCTACCACTGGTCTGGAAGTGAGAGTAACCACTTTGAACGTCTGAAGAGTACAGCTGTGGCCATAGACATCCGCGACAACGAGCGCAAAGGCCGAGCAGAGGTGCACATGATCAAAGAGGGTGAAGAAACAGAAGAAATCATCAGTGTAAGCTCTAGCCTGTAGCCACTAACACTGTACACTCAGAGATACAATATTGCTATTATAAGGCTTCTGATTGGAGATCGAAAAAAGATGTAATGAGCAGAATGTAGGAATAATAACTGGATTTTACAAAGATCCTAAAATAATTCTACTAACTATATTTTTGTATTTGTTTTACTATTTCAAGCAAAATTAGCTTTAATATTCTGTCATGTAAGCAATGAAACCAGATCAAAACTATTCAAATCCAGATTAATCATTGAAATTACTTTTTATATACTGTCAAAAGGTACAACTATTTTGTACTTTTGTATTGAAAAATTATGGCATTCTTATGCCTAAAACAATTTGTTTTGAAATAAATTCAAATAATTAACTTTTTACACAAATATAGACTAAAATGAAAGCATGTTTTTTTCAGTTTGGTTGTGTTTATGGCACTGGAAAATGTGCATCCTTACTCTGAGGAGGCTTGCATCTCTACAAACCTGACTCTTATTTCCAAGAGGAGGACCTTTGCTTGTTTGTTGTAGGAAATGTTGTTCTTAGGCTATAATATTCCACGCTATGGCATAAAATGTAACTTTCTCCATGAAGAATATCCCTTAACTTTCTATTTCCATGGAATAGTGCAGGTGACATGCCATCTACAGAAAGTTACATACTGTATCTTTAAATAAAATGTGGTTGCTGTTCGTTGAAAGGCTCTGGGGCCCAAGCCAGATCTCCCACCTGGAACCACGGACACCCCTGTGTCAAAGCAGGCCAAGTGTGAAGCTTCTCTCTACATGGTAAAATGATTAAGGGTACATTTTGTAGTACTTGTTCATTGAAAGAAGTAGAGAATACCATTTTATGTTTGTTTTTAGATTTCAGATGCTGCTGGGTCCATGAAGGCAACTCGAGTGGCTGAGAAGAACCCATTCAAACAGGACATGCTCAATCAGAACGACTGTTACATCTTGGACAATAAAGGCACCCACACGCTCTTTGTCTGGAAAGGTACACCTACTCTTATGTTTATGTCACAAATAGATCATGTTATGTTTTTGATATATCACAGGCACTGAATGCCATGACTCTTCAATAAAATGTATGTATAACTTCTTCACAGGATCAAAAGCTAATCCTGCCGAGCGAAAAGCAGCTCTGTTAGCCGCCCAGCAGTTTATTAAAGACCACAACTACCCAAAAAACACTAAGGTAAAAAGTCCTTTCAAATACCAAAATATAATGTATTGGTGTATTTGTACATGTTAGAAGCAAAATGGGTACTTAACAATTTGAATTATGAATAAACTGACAATCAGAATACTTGCTTGATTCTGCCCATTCATCAGCAAAGTTATATGTTATAACATTTCCTCATCAAAAACATGCCCGTGGTTTTAGATGTCGTCCCTGCATGTTTCAGTAATCTAGTGATCTCTCGTGGGCCCTGTTTAAACCCTTCTTAGGGTTAGCTGTAAGATTCTGTCCAATCCATGCTCCCACACGACAATTCTGCATAAATATACAAAAGCGTGATACAAAACTGTACACAATAACTTCACCAACCTGATATTGCCTGAAGTAGTTGCATTAACAGGATGCAGGCTGCTTGAGTTGTGATAGCGCTGTGAAGGGGGAGTGAGTTGGCCCGGGGAGCAAAGAAATGGTAGACTCAGAGCACCAAAAACTAAAGTGAAATTTATAAAACACTGTACTGCATTATTTTCAGCATTTAGAGCATTTTCAAAACAATAAAAGCTAACATGGTGAACTAAATATGTTATGTGTTAGTAGTTAATACAATATAGAAGTAAAATACTCCCTCTTTAATAACAAAATACAAATTGTCTTATGGGAAATACAGTCTGTCTTACCTATTTTCATTTCTGTTGTCCGGTGTAGATCCAGATCATTCCAGCTGGAGCAGAGACCACTCTTTTCAAGGAGTACTTCTTCAACTGGCTGGACAAAGACGAGACCACGGGCCCCAGTCAGGGTTACACCATTGGGAAAATCGCCAAGGTGAAGAAAGTCCCATTCGACGCCTCCGGTCTCCATAACAACGCCGCCATGGCCGCCCAGCACGGAATGGTGGACGACGGCTCAGGCGAAGTCCAGGTATACCAAAACAGAGCTAACATAATTACATTTAATGATTTTACTACACATCTTGGCATTTGATCATCACTTGACCCCTTTTTCACTTCCTGGCTACACAAGGGCAGCATGAGTAGAGGAAATTCAATAAGTGTTACTTTGCAGTCATGTAGTCAACAAAGGCCAAAGCTGTACACACTAGTTATTATCTGCCAAAGAAAAGTATGTGTTCTCCTAAATTTTGGATGGAATTTTGTGGATGATGACACAGAGAAAGGAACTGCTTTTTAGAGCTCAGCTACTTCCTGTAATTTCCATATTTTCTTTTCAAGCTGCCTCTGGACTGCACTGCGAAAAAACAATATCTAGAGAAGTTAAAATTACTTAAATTAAGAACATCTGACTTTATTTGAGTAGATTCAACTTGACAAGTAAAAATATCTGCCAGTGGAATAAGTGTGTTTTTCTTAATTCAGGCAACATTAAAATGAATTTCTTATTTTAAGTGCAAAAAGTTGTTGTTTTTCTTATTCTAAGTGTAGCAAGATGTATTTTCATATTTTAACAAAAAGTCTTGTTCCACTGGCAGATAATATTACTTGTCAAGTGAAATTTACTCAAATCATGATAAAACTTACTTATTTCAGGTAATCATAACCTTAATCTTCATCTGTAAAACTATTATCATTTCTCAACAAAGAAAGTTATTGTGCACTTGAAATTCTTACAATGATTATAAGACTTTTTCATATGGAAAATTATAGAACCACTCTGAGCCAACATCTGTTTTGTATCGTTTTTGTGACGTGCACAGATCTGGCGTGTGGAGGGTGGTGATAAAGTTGCCGTTGATGCTTCGACTTATGGTCAGTTTTATGGAGGAGACTGTTACCTGGTGCTGTACTCCTACAAGTGTGGAGGCCGAACCAAGCACATCATCTACACCTGGTGACTACACACTTTTAATATGGATGTACCTGTTGCTGCCTGTAATATGATGATACATGATGATACATGGTACAAATATAACTGTCAAAGTGAACGTGTTAACACATGCGTTTAATTAAAACAAATTGTTGCATTAATCATGTATGACACAGAAAATCCATCAGTCCACACTTGGGCAAATGCACAAGAAACTGAAGGTGCTATGATCTCAGGCTGAACAGCTTCATGACCAGTTCTAAAAAATGTCAACCAGGCCAAATATTCCACCTAACTACTTCACTATTAGATGACAGAAGAAGACACCAGGCCAACCCTTGCAGCTTACACCTGTCACCATAAGAGCCAGTTACACCCTCAAGTGACAATGAAGAGCCTTTAACCTCACCAAAGCTACTGTTTGATCATATAAATTATTTAGATTTATGAAATTATTAAGTAATTTTTAAATATTTGTCTTTAATGCTTCAAATTACAAAGTTTTTTATATTTATATTTGGTGATAAATTGTCATTAATCATATTTCACAAATCTGGTTATTTTTAAATGATTTGACAGCATTAATCATTACAATGCAGCACACAGAATTTGCCCTAGACAGAGCAGCCATTGTTAGTGACCCCTGTCTGTGGTCTATAACTTTATGTGTGATTTTTATCTAGGCAGGGAAAGAAGTGCTCCAAGGATGAGCTGGGAGGTTCTGCCATCCTCACTGTTCAACTGGACGACTCTATGGGAGGCGTAGCAACCCAGGTAAAATAGACTTTGAATACAAACCATAATGTGTTTTGTTATTTGGCATGGATAGAGATGTTTCTGTTAACTTGCACATTTGGCATGAGAATTAATTGTAAAGGTTATTCTTCTTTGTCGACAGGTGCGTGTGACCCAGGGGAAGGAGCCTGCTCACCTGGTCAGCCTGTTCAAAGGGAATCCCATGGTGGTGTACCTGGGTGGAACGTCCCGCGACGGAGGACAAAGTTCACCAGGAGAAACCCGCCTCTTCCACATCCGCCTGAGCTCCACCAAGGCCACTAGAGCTGTCGAGGTTCGCCATCTTGTTTGTAGTTTTAATGAACCGTGTACTATGGATTTGTTGCCTAAAGATAAACCACAATTTAACTTGTCTACATGAGCATTAAACTAGGATTAATACTAAAATAGTGATAATAACTAATGGGATTAAGATTTGGGGTTGAACAATGCTTTTTTATGATTAGATTTGCAATTTATGTTTTAAAATATAGATTCTGTTCTAAGTTCACATTTTAAGTGTGTGTGGGAGATTGGACAAAAAATGAAATTGTACAGATTTAAACTACAGTCTTAACACTTTCTATGCAGAATAAACCAGGATTTTTTGTTGTTTGAGGAGGACATGATTGTAGTTTATTATAGATTATAGTTTGATTCAATTGCGATTAATTTTACAGCCCTATTGAGAATAAAAATAACTTGAGCTGAAGTGAACAAATCCAGCATTAAACCTGATCCAAGCCAGGACTCAATCTGCACTAAAGAAGCACTAGATCTTCACTTCATTAGGGCTAAACATGGATTAAACCAAGCCTAAAACCAGGACTAAACTTGATTATTTTACTCTATGTTTTGTTATAGGTTGAGCCCACTGCCTCCTCCTTGAACACCAACGATGTGTTTGTGTTGAAAACCTGTGACGGGGTTTACCTGTGGAAAGGCGTGGGTGCAGCTGAGGAGGAGATGGGGGCAGCACAGTACGTGGCCTCTCTGCTCGGAGGGTCGGTCACAGAGGTCGAGGAGAAGAGAGAGCCAGGTGACTGAATAAAGCATGTTTCATTTGGAGAAGTTACTAACTAGACAATGAGAAAAGCATGTGCTCTATCAGAAGTGACATGAAATAGACGATGCCATGATGGAGAAGGAGCAAATTTATTTACAAAGCATCACTAACTTCACAAAATAAAAACACCCTCCTCATCTTAAGCTAAAGAATTTGAAATTATCTCTCCATTTTCTGCTAGAATAAAGATTGAAAAAAGCACAAGCATTCAAATTCAGGCCGAAAATGCATTTTGCAATCTTTATTTTGATTTAAATGAGAAAAACATACTTTATATTTTTGTGATACAGACATAGCAACTGCAAAACAAACCAGATAGAAAAAATATACATTTTCAGCACCTATGTTTTTGATGAGGTAACATTATAACATGGCTTAAAGCTCACAAGAGTACAATTTGCGTAATATTGGACCTTTATAGTTTAAATCTTATCGTTTGCTACTTTTTCCTGTTTTATTAAGTGATGTTATCTAGATGTGTAATTTTCTTTCTTTTTTTTTTTTTTACTATGCTCTTATGTGATGTTGTAAACCACTATACGTACTTAAACTTATGTACATATAAATAATACAAGCGCTCTTCACTTGTGCTTCTGATTTCAGACTCTTTCTGGGCTGCACTGGGAGGAAAGAAAGAGTACCAGACATCAAAGACTCTGCAGAACGCCATGAAGCCGCCACGCCTGTTCGCATGCTCTAACAAGACTGGAAGACTAATTGTGAGTGTTTTCTGGATTATATAACATATACATTTAATATATTCAGTAAATCAATATAGATACAGAAGATTCACAGACAAAAAGACAAAATGGAAGCCCTGATTTAATGCGTGTGTCATTTATTTAGGCTGAGGAAGTGCCCAGGGACTTTTCACAGATAGACTTGGCTACTGATGATATCATGATCCTGGATGCATGGGACCAGGTAAAGAATTTATTTTTATTTTTATTTTTTTATATGCACCATAGACACATTTATTTCAAGGTTTGCAGACTATTGATTATATATTTTGTCCTCCCCAGCTTTATGTGTGGATTGGAAAGGATGCAAGCGATGAAGAGAAGGAGGGTGTGGGGAAGATTGGTAAGTGAAACATGGCTATTGTTTTTTGTTTGTTTTTTTACCAAAATGTATGATCAGATTCAGATTCACTATTGGGCACTTTGGATTATAAGGTGCATCATTGAATGGTCTATTTTCGAACTTTTTCACAAATAAACTGCCCCGGACTTTAAACGAACAGCTAGATGGGTCAGTCGGAGTTTGTTTGGCGCATTCACGGTGACTCTCAGCTTTGTTCAATTGTGGCGTGTAGGGAGGGTGCTGTCTGGGACCGCCGGATTGTTGGCGTGTTCGCAGTGACTCCGTTGTGGCTAGAAGTGGCACATTGCAGTTGCTTTTTCGGTTCTTTCCTCCGTTCCGTTCCTCGTCCGCGTGGAGTGATGAGTGTGTCTGCGGGTGTGTTTCGATGCGTGGTCGCTGTCTGCTCTGTGCATGTTTGCGTGCACTACGGGTGGTGCGGCTTTGTAGTTTACTGAAGTCTTGCTGGGACACCCAAGGGATTCGTGTATAGGGCGCTCTGGATTATACGGGCACGCAGTTGTTTTTTGATGGGGTTGAAGGCTTATGAGTGCGCCCTATAGCCTGGATAATATGGTAATTTTAATTTTAAAATCAATTTTATTTTATTTTTTTTTAAATACATGAAGACAAATGGGCAAAAAGTCTGATTTTTACGCTCTTTAAATGCATTTGGATACATGCAATACAGCAAGATTGTCCTTTTATATTTATATATTGTTTTTTTTAACCCTTTAGCTCAAGACTACATTAACAGTGACCCAGCAGGCCGGCGCGGGACCCCCATAGTCACCTTTAAGCAGGGAGAGGAGCCACCCTGTTTCACCGGATGGTTCCATGGCTGGGATGACGACATGTGGCAGAAAGACCCTATGGATCTGATCAGCCTGATGAGCCAGAAGAAGTGCCACTAAACCAGAAGAAGCCAAACCTGCAATGCCTTTTTCACTTGTGTAGTGCTGTTAGTTTAAATGTTTAAATCCATCATGATACCCCCATTAGAGAGACTTTTCTGCAGACTGTGTTGATACTCTGCATCAGATATCATCTACATTTCCTGGGGGGAGGGGTGACGCTAGCTAGAGGCTCTGCTCTGTCTGTTACTCTTAGACTTTAATCCGAGCTTCATTATAAAACCTTCTGACCATACTGACTTATCTGGAACTAGAAGCCTGATGTCACTGCAAAGTATCAGTATGAAAATAGACAGTGGTGCCAGTTAAAAAGTAAGATATTACAAAAGTATAACAAGATCTAAACTAATTCTGGTAGCAAATATATTTTCTTAAACATATCCTACATGTAATACCACTGTCTATTTAAATTTACAGCCTGTAGTTTTGATTATATTGTAAGACAACCATACATTTGTGGGAAAAATAGTTTTAAACATTGAAAAGATGACCTGAAATGCTTTGCCAAATCAACTCTGTAATAGCCACTTAACTGGTTCTGCACTCCAATAAACTTTAAACTCAAAATCTGTGTTGTTTTTAAATACTTTTGAACAAAACTGAGTTAACACTGAGTTAAAAGGTGCGCTTTCTGGTGGAGGAGCTGTCACTTATTGTCTTCATGGTGATGTTATTGCTTTCTTTGCCTAGGATGTTCAATACTATAAGATCTCTTTTACTTTTGTGTGCTTTTACAAGTCAAAAATGCCTTGTCAATTGTGTGCCTGGTGGTGTAACTTTTTGATACAATACTGTGGACCAGGCATGTCCAAACCATCAGTCTATGTATGGCTCTTGATTGGCCCTCCTTTTCATCTTTGTTTTGGTATACAGACCTTAATGAAAAAGATTTGGACCCTGCTATGCACCATTCCAGACAAAGCAATAATATCCAATTTCAATATGCAATGTAATAGTCATGATTGAAGATAATACTACAGAAACATTTGTAAACAATTGGACTACTTAGGATCTAGCCAGAGCCTCCTTCACACTCTGTTAATCTGACATGTGCTGTTACTGCTGAGTGGATGGGTTAAGGATTAGAGGCTGGTTAGTTGTCCACATGAAGATTGCTGTATTAACGACACTGAAGCTAAAGGGCACTCATTACTACTACTACTACCACCAAGGTTTACTTTCTATTCAGCCCAGAAGTCATGAGTCAGAAGGTGGTCCTGATCACCGGCTGCTCCTCGGGAATCGGTCTGGCTCTGGCCGTACGCATTGCCAAAGATGAGAAGAAGAGGTTTATGGGTAAATCTGCAATTTAAATGTCATTATGGTTTATATAGAGTATTGACAGACATAATTTATATAAAATGGTGAGTGTAATGTAAAGAAGGGCTTTGTTTTCATTGTGTTGTCACCATTAAGCAAACCTAGTCCAAAGAAATGTTTCTAAATCACTGGATATATGGTATTTCTGGAATGGTACTAAATGATGAATGTGCTGTGGTGCTTTTCATTTTACAATCATAAACATTTGGTTATAGTATTCGTGCTGCAAATGCAATGGGAGATTTAGATTTCATATAACAAGATTACATAATCAATATTAGATTATTTTATCCCAATTAATGGATTGGTAATTAGATTAAAGGTGCATTATGTAACATTTCTGGTGCAGGATTGCCACCTACTTGGCTCCATGCTAGTGTTATTTCTTTTTACCTGGGACGTTCCATGTGAGCTGATGCGCCTCTCCACAGATCTGACCTCAGAGATAGATGACCCATGGAGATAGATGAGTTTGATGCCAGACTGTAGAATATAACATCTCAGAGAAAGTGATGAACGCTTCTCCTAGATTATATAATCCACCTTTAAATAAGGTTTGTGTCAACAGCCAAAACATTAACTATTATAGATCTATTTATTGTATTAATGCAACAAAAACATTTCTTGAGAATCTGCAGAGATCCTCCAGCTCAGGGGTCTCCAACGTGTAGCTCAGGTGCTACCAGAATCTCCACAACCTTATAAGTAGCTCGCCAAAAGATTTTTGAATTGTACGTATTGTACTGAATAGCACAAATTTGATTAATTACCACTGTAAATGTGTTATTTTGAACTTTATGCACTAATAAATGGATAATGGTTTTATAGGCATCTAACTGTACATCTAAGGCTTGCCCTCTTATATCGACTCAATTTGTTGTCCCTGCTCCAGCTAAATACTCCTAACTAAGATTCTTGCTCAAGATTAAAAATAGGAGTCCATATATCCTATAGATGAGAGCCGTATAGACTGATACTCTAATGTTGTGTACAAATGTTGTGTACAAGAATAATAATCTTACTTGATAGTACATTAAAATTAATTAAAATTTTCCAATCTTTTCCAGTGTATGCGACCATGAGGAACCTGTCCAAAGGAGAGGCTCTGGTGGAGGCAGCGGGGAAGGCTCTGGGCCGGACTCTAGAGATCAAACAATTGGACGTGTGTGATGAGAAATCTATTAAAGCCTGTGTGGACAGCTTGCCCGACAGGAAGGTGGACATCCTCAGTGAGTCTTTACAAGGCACTACGCAGGAAGCAAAGGGGTTGGGTCTTGCCACTTGGGTTTCATTCTCTTTCCCAAACTGAGTATTTCTATGAAGGTTCTTTGTTAATGTTTCCCTTACCTTCAAAAAATATATGTGTCAGGATGGCATATTTGCAGTGGGTTAGAACAAATCCTCCATCTCATGTCAGTGTACAGCTTGTATTTCAAATATCCTAAAATATATAGTCAAATGTACAAGAAAATTTCCACTTTACACATAGTATTTCTGCTTAGATGGTCACACTCTGCTTGTATCACCTGCTTGTACATTGAGTTCTTATTTCTTTGCCAATTGTTTCATAGTATTACATGGCTCAAAAATGCAGACCATTCTGGACAAAGCACCAAATATCTCCTAAAATGATGAAAATTATGTACAGCACTTTTTAAAAGTGTATTAAAAGGCTCCAAGATGATATGATATACTGTATTATTTCAGTAAGTAATGCCGGCATGGGTCTGATTGGGCCAATCGAGTGCCAGACCATAGAGGAGATGAAGACGGTGATGGACACAAACTTCTTCGGCCTGGTGCGTCTGCTGCAGGAGCTGCTCCCCGACATGAAGAGGAGGAAGAAGGGGCACATCGTGGTCATCAGCAGTGTCATGGGTATCCAAGGTGAGCAGGAACATCTGAGCTGTAACGCTATGTAATAGTTATTTTTCTTATTGTTTTGTTTTTGTGCAGTTTTATTAGATTTTTTTCACCAGTAGATGGCTTCTCCCAGGGGTGTAGTGGGCATGGTAAGGTTATGGGTAAGGGATACGCCGCTCACCCACTTTTCCCGACATGAGATATAAAAAAATAACAAATACAAAATGGCTAAAATGTAAAAGTCAAACCGGAGCTATTGGCAATGGTGAAAACAAACTGCATAGGCTCATGATATCTGCAGTACTGTCATATAGTGACCTGAGACATGAGGGCCCAGGACTGAACCAGGACTAAACCAGGACTAAATGAGAAATGAACCAGGACTGTGTGCAGGGACTGGCCCAGAGGTGCTCCCGCGTAGACCGTTGGGTGACCACTGGCGAAAGGACCAGCACAGAGCCGTCGCCCGCTTGAGCTTTGTGGACACCCTGCTCCACGTGCTCAGGGTTCTCTCTCTCGAGCTCTCAAGTCCAAGATTAGTCCTGGTTTAGTCCTGCTTTAGTCCTGTTTTAGTCGTGGTTCAGTCCTGGGCATGTGTTGTAGCCTATGCTTTATGTTCTGTAGGTGATTATGAAAAGCATTAATGTTGATTCTCCATCATTTTGTGTAAAAAAAATCACATCAAATATTATTGACTTTTACTGGGACTTTTTATGACTTTTTATGTTTGTACTCAAAGGGAGTTTTTTTTTATTTGTTTATTACACAAACAATCTACCATGTGCATCCACCTGTGTGTATTTCGGCATGTCAAGTTGAGTAAGTTGAGTCCAATACCCCCACTTACAAAAATGCCCACTACATCAATGGCCTCTCCCCTAACCTAACCTTTGTTTATCCTCACCTGTGCTCTCTGATCTTCTTTTGTCGGGCCAAAGCTGACGCACTATTGAACAGAAATAGCATCTTGTGGTTATATGTTATGTGAGAATACAGGAGTGCGTAGGCCAATCTAATTACAGACGGTAGCTTCAAGAGGTGGAGAAGCATGTGAAACAAGCCCAGTAATTTGATTCGCCCCACATTTTTATCATTCCGTACAATTTTCCTACTCATAACACATCAACAACAATAATCACATAACGACACAATTATATTATCTATCTATAATCAGTTGAACTTTCGTTATTGACTTTTGATTTACAACCATGTTATAATGATACGGTAGATGTAGTAGTTATCACATTTGGTCGTAATCAAACTGCTTCAATCCTCAGAGCATGATGCTGTCACAGTTCTGCCTTTTGTTTACATGTTTTCCCCAGTCCAGCATCATTTCCCAGTCTGTTCCGGTCCTCCTTTTGCTACCTCCTTTTTTTTTATCCTACAGCTGCCTCTCATTCCCTAAACATCCCAGGTTAACCTATATATACTCCCTCTGTTCAGTCAGTCTTTGTTAGATTGTTGACTTGTCAAGACACTCAAGCTCTTTATCTGAAACTCTGAACCTGAATTCTGTTGTTTGCATTTTGTGCAATTCTGCTTTTTCCCCTGTTTGTAGTACCTGTTTGAGTTTATTCCCAGCCCATTTTCTACTTAAAAATCTTCCAAACCTGGGAAATACTCTCAGTTTACATTAAATAAATCATATATCTCTTTGCTGTTTTTCAGTCTGATTTGCCATATTAAACATTATCTGTTATAGGACACTTTCTGTTATTGAACTAAGACTTTGTTTTCCTGTATGCTTGTGTTGCGTTGTGTTGAGTCCAGTTTACTTGTGTGATAGATATTAACGGTGGTAATAATAATAATAAATTGTTTCCTTTACAAAAGCTACATTATTTTAAGCCATAAAATGTGAAGAGTTCAATAGTTCGGTGTTTGTGTGGACAAAATTGTGCATTCAAACTATGTGATTTTTATCTTACAATCTAGAAGCAAGACTAAAGTTGATATGTGACCCTATTATTCTTTTATAATATAGATTTAAAGGTGCATTGTGTAACTTTTCTGGTGGAGGGTCCGTCAAATGCTTTTCTTCATGGAAATGTTATTACTTTTTCTGGAATATTTCACAGTATGGTAGTCACTGGTAAATGGTCATATATTTATAGAGCGCTTTTCCACCTTCAAGGGACTCAAAGCGCTTTAAACAAGGAACCACTCACCCATTTACACACACACACTCATTAACCAGTGTACACAAACACTAGGGGCGAGGTGGGTTAAGTGTCTTTGCCCAAGGACACAACAACAGCATTCATCTGTTGGAGCTAGAATCACACCGCCAACCTGTGGGTCAGTGGATTTGACCGCTCAACCAATGATGTTTTATTAAGTAGAGAGTGGGATTTGAACTGCCAACTCTCTACTAACTGAGCTACTGCCACATTAAACCTGTTTATCTTCATGGAGACCAAACCAGACAAAGTTACAGGTCAGATCTGTGGAGAGGCAACCCCACTCACAGTCAGAATGCCTGTTTTTCTAGTTATTTTTGAGCTATAGAAGCACTTGTAATTGAATAAATGTAAGGTAGAGCTGTTTAATGTCATACTGTGGAACATTCAATGACAGACCCTTCACCAGAAAAGTTACACCTTTATATCATAAAAAAGTCTTCTTAACCATTTGTGTGCACTTTCAGGAATTATTTTCAACGACATATACGCTGCTTCCAAGTTTGCCGTGGAGGGCTTTTGTGAAAGTTTAGCTGTTCAAGCCCTGAGGTTCAATCTGAAGTAAGTCATCAGATACACACTGAATACTGAGTCCAAGAGCAGAGAGTTTGAGAGCAGAGAGACAGTTCACATGGGGAGAGTCCTAAAGTACATATAGTGTTACATAACAATGGTATTGTCTCGCCACAGATTAAATATGTGTCAGCAGCATCACGCCCAGATCCAAAACAAGTCTTAACACAACAGACACCACGCAGCAACTGCCGTCCAAATGCAAAAGATCAACAGGTTCACTTGACATAGCTATTTTTGTTTCATTTATTTAAAGATAGATTTTAATAGGTTTGTGTAATCCCTCTTTCATCTACGAGTGGTTCAAGAGAAAGTCATCTGGACAATGTTTTTAAAATCTAAATTCTCAAAAAAACAGTGGCTTTGCTCATGTGCATGCTAAAATGTCATTATTATCTGATTTCTGGACATTTAAGATTATTTAAATAACAGATAAACCACAAAATCCATAGCTGAGTAATCAGAAGGACCATGATAAAAGTGAGCTACTGTGTCCAAATAATAATAATAATTCCCTTGTGGATAAATGAAGTTTGTCTAAGTCTAAGTCTAACTTTACACATTATTTTAATAGTTCTATGACTCAAATAAATCAGATAATTATCAGATTTAGGGTGCGCCTGTAACTGTAGCCAGTGTCAAGATGACCTCTCAAACTTTTTCTACCTAGGGTGCATTCAAACTTTCACAAACACTAATTTAAAACTGTCAGTGAAATGGGACTAAGCCTGGAACTTAACCTGAACTAAACCAGAAGTAAATCAGGGCTTAACCAGGACTATAACAGGGCCATGCCAAGTCTATATCTAAATTAAAATGGGTTCAAACCAGAACTAAAAATTACAAGCACTTAATAAAAGGAAATTATAAAATTTTTCATAGGATTTAAATAGAAGATCTTGTAAATTTATGCACAATTATATAATCTCTTAGACTTAGACTTAGAAGAACTTTATTGTATTACTGTATTAGACAAACATTATTATATTATAATAACAAAAAGTAAAAAAATATATATAAATGGTAGTAATAAATTCTAAATAAGCAGCGAAAATAGCAAGAGACTATTTTCAAAAATGGCATTCTTTAATATGTAGAGGTTTTTTTTGTTTTGTTTTAATAATAATAGTAGAAAAATAATAGTAGAAATAATAGTAGAATAGAAGAATAACAGTTAAACTCTATGCATGTACGTACTTGGAACACGCAGTAATAATACTTAGCATTAATAGTAGCTTTTGTATTGCAGTGCTGCCAATTTGCAAACTGTATAGCGGTTCCACTTTGGTTAATAAAACTTGATGTGATATGATGTAATCTCTGTTAACGTCTCTTTAAATGAATGTACATGTTTTTCAGAAAGGCCATCTGATATAAAATGTCAATTAATTCATGAAAGTGCTCAGGTGAAGGGAGCAGACAGGGTCAACATTAAATTTCAGTTGCATTTTATTTTGCTGCAGTAGTAATTATACTTAATTACGGATATCTATTACTTCCCCCACATCTTGTTTGAGATAATAACTGTGTTTCTTATAATCCTTGTGGTAGTATCAGTCTGATTGAGCCTGGTCCGGTCATCACAGAGTTCGAGCGTAAAGTCTTTGAGGAGGGAATGAAGGTGGACCTGAGTAAAGCTGATAAAGTGACTGCAGACATGTTCACAAACGTCTATCTGAAAAACTATGGCCAGATCTTTGAGACGATGGGACAGACACCAGAGGACATCGCAGAGGTAACGTGATGTTTGTGGGAGGTGGTTAAGATGTGGTTGGCGAAAATGTATTCAAGTTGAGATCTCACAACCTTTTTCTACTTAAAGGCACTTTGTAACTTTTCTGGTGGGGCTCTGCTACCATTATTTTTCCCTCTTAACACACTTAAGAGCCTAGCAATAGACATATTTGCCTGAAATATTCCACAGTGTGGACCTATCTTTCTTGCATTTATTCCATTATTGGTGTTTTAGCACTAAAAAATACCTTCAAAAACATATGACCCGTAACTTTGGCTTAGTGGCTTTACATGCTTGTTTCCTTGGAGATAGATGAATTTAATAAGTAGTACAATTTTTCACATAAGAAAAAAAAAAGAAATAAAAGGAAAAAGTATTACATTCAGCATGTAATACTTTTTCCTTTTATTTCTTCTTCTTCACAAATAATGACATCATGGTTGTAGCTTTGATTTTTTTTTCTTGATTTTCTATTAATAAAAAAATTCATTAACAATTATTATTATTGGAGTAAGATTAAATATTTATAATGATGACTATATCTTGCATTGTTTAGTGTGTTTAATGTGTTTAATGCATGTTATTATAAGTTGTCCCCTCTGTGTTTCAGCACACTCTGAAGATCATCACGATGGAGAATCCTCCGTTCCGTCACCAGACAAACACACTGTACACTCCCATGACCACTCTGAAGTACGCTGACCCCAGCGGAGATCTGCCCATAGAAACCTTCTACAAGATGGTCTTTGAACATGACAAACTGTTCAGCGCCAGCCTCAACTTCCTCAAGCTGCTGCGCTGGAGGAGCCGCAAGAGCTTCACTCTAGACAAGGACAAGGACAATGCCTCATCATAAACTGAACCACAGAAGTATAGTGTTTAGAATATAATCTTTGATTAAAGATCTACAGTAACTTTAAGTATGAGAAATGTTAGTCCAAGGAAAGGCATTTTTAAAGCATATGTGACGTTAATGGAAAATAAGGCACTGAAACAAAATGAGTGAAATAAGATGTTGAAATATGTAGACTACTCTCTGTGGTAGCAACAACTGCTTTAATGCCAAGTTATACTCTAATAAGCCTCTTAGATTATTACACAATGTTTAATCCTTACACTTAGAGCTTAACTATGAATCAAAACATTTCATATTAGCTTTGTAATCACGTTCATTAAATTCACTGTAGTTAGGTAGTTTATTTTTATTTTTATAGCCGAAATTATGATTTCATATGCCTGTTTAGGTTTTTTGTTATTTATAGTTAATGTAGTAGAATGTGTGTATAACATTTTGTTAAGTTATGTTGTTATAATAGAAAAACACTCACACAAAAAATATTATTATTATTAGTAGTAGTAGTAGTAGTAGCAGCAGCAGCAGCAGCAGCAGCAGCAGTAGTAGTAGTAGTAGTAGTAGTAGTAGTAAAGTGAATTTATAAAAAATTATCTTCAAAAAGAATCCTGGTGGCAGTGGTTCTGTCCCTGCAAAATCATCCTTTTTGTGGCTGTTTAGTTTTAGCTATCAATTTTATGTTGTTATTTATCGGTAATGTAATAAAATGTGTGTATTTAATTTTGTTAAGTTGTGTTATTATAATTGAAAAACACATGTATTATTATTATTATTATTATTATTATTATTATTATTATTATTATTATTATTATTATTATTATTATTATTATTATTATTATTAAAGTGAATTTATAAAATACCTTCAAAGAGAAACCTAAAGTATTAATTAATAAACACTAGATGGCGGTAGAGGTTCTTTCCAAATCATCCGTTTTGGCGACGCAACATCCGGCCTGCCCTGGGCTAGCGGCTAATGCTACCGCTGCCTGTTCTGCAACACATTTATAAATGAGCACAAATCTGTTCAATGTAATTCACCATGATTTGCCTCTTTAGCTGGTCCGGGGAGCCGTAACTGTCCGGCGGAGTGTGATGATCCTTTGTGTCTCATCGGCTCGGTCGTATTTAGGTGGAAAATAGCAGAAGCGCTTCATTGTTAGGCGGACTTTAGTTCATGCTCTCGCGCTCCGCTTTCACTTGTCTTTCGACTTGGGACCATCGCTTCTTGTTCTGCTTTGTTTGATTGTCCCAGCTTTCCCCATTCTTTTATTTTGTGTGCATTTATTACATTCCAAATTTATAAAAAGGAGGCTCTGCTAAAATTGGAAGTAATTTTATCCGCCTACGTTGCTAAGCTAACACGCCAGCCTGAGTAAAGAGAAGGAAGGAAGGAGTGTCTTGGCTGATTTGTTTATTTCTTTGCACCGTGTCCAACTTGTGAAAACAGGCCCTCGACGTTTGCAACTTTTTGTTTTGTTTTATCTTGTGGACTTTATTTCTGCTGCAATGGCCTCTTCCTCGGGCAACGACGACGATCTGACCATCCCCAGAGCAGCTATCAACAAAATGATCAAAGAAACACTTCCCAATGTGCGAGTGGCCAACGATGCCCGCGAGCTGGTGGTGAACTGCTGCACGGAGTTCATCCACCTCATCTCCTCAGAAGCCAACGAGATCTGCAACAAGTCCGACAAGAAGACCATCTCTCCAGAGCATGTCATCAATGGTGAGAGACAGCCGCCACTTATAAGTCTGTTTTATGTTGCATGAGATGTTTCTAATTAGGGAAATAAGCTACCACAGAATTAAACAATGAAACAAGTTAGTTAAAGGACAACATTCAAAAGTCTTTACAGGAAATCCTGTTTGAATATATCACCTCAATTAGATGCATGTCCCACATTATTAATACCAACACATGTGTTATAGTTGTTTGAAGTTAGTTGAGTTTTCAGGCCAATTTCTGTTGTAATAAAGAGGAAACTGATAAGCATCACTGACGCTTGCTTGTTTTCTCTGAAACCACAGCCCTGGAAAGCTTGGGTTTCGGTTCCTACATCACAGAGGTAAAGGACGTGCTGCAGGAGTGTAAGACCGTGGCTTTGAAGCGGAGGAAGGCCAGCTCTCGTTTGGAGAACCTGGGCATCCCAGAGGAGGAGCTGCTCAGACAGCAGCAGGAGCTGTTTGCGAAGGTAAGACTAAAGACACCAAATTATTTTGGAAGTGAGTCACTTGAATAGATAACCTTCACTGACATCTGTAAATTAAGCCAGAAAAACCTGCTGCAAACAAAACACTCTTAAGTCGGTTGTTTTGCATTGTAATAAATACCTGCCTAATTTGTTTGTTTTGCAGAGAGTTTTTTTCATGTTCCTCTTCCTAACTCTGCCTGTGTCTGTGGACCATCATACATAATTAAAATGACAGTGAATGAATGGTTCAACACACAACTGTCACATTTTTTTATGTATGTCTATGAACTGTTTGTGTTGGCAGTACCTTTGCTTAAATTAAGCATTGAAGTGTTTCACACTATGTGTATGATAAATATTTGCACATAGCTATGTAGAAACACGTCCCCTAACCTTTCCTTTCTTCTTGTCCCCAGGCCCGACAGCAGCAGGCAGAGCTGGCTCAGCAGGAGTGGCTTCAGATGCAGCAGGCAGCGCAACAGGTAGCGACCAAATTTTGTTTAATTTAAAAATTCAAGTCAAGCCAAGAACAAGACCTATTATGCTTATGTTATATAGATATAATTAATGACACCAGCTGATCATTATTTTATAATTTAGACATTTTAAATCACAATATTCACCTAAAGCTACTTGATAAAAGAAACAATTCTGCTGCTCTCCATGTTGGAAAACGGCGGTGCCCAGTGGGAGATGATGTTGCCCTAAACGTCATTAGAGCTTGGGACACTGGAGAGTTTTTGTTTTCAAGCAAAAAAACATCTGTAATTGGATAAATTTAAGACAAATAAGTTTATATTATGCAGTAGAATATTCTAGACATAGTAACAATTATAATTCCAAAACACAAGTAGGTCACTGATCCTTTCCCAGAAAAGTTACATAGTGCACTTTAAAGAAATGAATTGAAAGCACAAGTTAAAGTTTAATATTTTCCCTCTATGGAGGATCGCTTTCAGTTTTCTACTAATGTTACCTCTAGGGCTGTATTCAACTAAAGACATTCTTGGAAGACATGGCCTGCCAATTGATTAGTTGACTAAAAAGTGGATGTGACAAAAGCTCTCAAAACTACTTTGTATCTCTATGTTACTTTAAAAGTCTTTAAAAGAAGATTATTCATGAGTTTAATCTGCTGTATTTAGAAATAAATACCAAAACATAGCAAGTCTTCAACTAGCTCACTAACTTCTTCTTTTTGTTGTTGCCCTTTTATAAATTCTTATAATAGAAATGCCATGAGTAATCAACTATCAAAAATTTGGAGTCCATTTGCAGTCATCTATAATTTGAATGTCGCTAGGGTTAAAATATCGCTACACTCTGACAATATTCCCTTACACCTGCTAGAATAATGTTTTGTCCATCACACAGGCGCAGATGGCTGCAGCCTCCGCCAGCGCCGCTCAGCAGGCCGGCTCCTCCCAGGACGAAGAGGATGACGACGACATGTGATTCCCAGAATTCCCCAGAATTGCACTTCCTTACGTCTGCTCACTGTCCAGACACCTTCATTCTCCCAGCGCTGCGCAGAGACTTATACACGAGCTGCTGAACTTCGCACGCGGGACAAGCTTGGATGAAAAAATATCTTGAGAGGCATTTACAAGACCCTTCGGAAAGAGCGTGGCAACCCTCCTCGTAAACGTCCTGTCGATTTTGTAATTTGTTGATATGCGATCGTGATTTGGACATCAAAACAAATCACAAATGGGGTGAACTTGAGAGAAATATCACTTGGGGACTTTGAATAGACCCTTGAGAAAGATTTTTGACATCGGAACACATCGTCTTTACTTGTTGATTTTGGTATAAGTGATTTGTAGTTGTGAATGGGATGCACTGATGGCACAGGTGTGGTGAGTGACTAAGTAAGGAGTTGCTGTACTCCATTGTATTGGGTGTAGGACAACGCTCTTTAGAAAAACATCCGAGCAGATACCGTTTGTACTTTAGTGGTCATTTTTACAATTTGCTTTGCGCTTTTCGGTTTGTTTCTTTGGAGAACACTTTGAGGGATTGTGAATACCAGAGTAGTTTTTGTTAAGTAGTGAAACAAATGAATCTTTTGTTAAATCTTTAGCTCTTTCAAATATTTCCTATGTTGTGCTTTTTTCTTGGCTTAGAACCACCCACAGTATTCGACTTCACGGTTCAGGATCATTTTTGTCAGATAGTACCAAAGATGGGACTGGTTAAAAGCTCCCATTTAGAGGAGCGGCTCAGACTTCAGGACAGTGTTAACCGTGATGAGGGTAAGTTAACTTTGTAAAATTCTTTTGATATCCTGGTTGAATTTGTTATTTTCCTCTTCTTGGGTGCAGTATCAGATATTTGCATTGTGACTGGTCAGTCCTCAGTGTAAAGATGAGTAACTCTAGTTGTGAAAAACCTTCACTCGGCAACAGAAATGTATTCTTTAAGCAATAAAGGAACCGTGTTTTATAAGTAAGTGTTTGGTGTGTTTATGGGTTAAATTGTGATAGTAATTAAGGATGGGCCAATAAGCAAATATAATGCCAAAATGGTAATCACCATAAGAGGCATAAACGGCAGTATGTGCAGACAAAAATCTACTTATCTGTGATGTTCTCTCTTCTCTAACAAGTAAAATTCTATAATACTTATTTAAATACTGAACTTAGGTTATCATTTCTTAATATGTCTTTTTAACTCAAGTTCATGACACATATTAATTTGAGTATATTTCTTTAACAGTCAGTGTTTATAGCTTATCTTTCTCTTATCTTTTACTTATCTGTCTTTAATTATTGTTAATCATCAATTATTTTGACCATAATCATAGCATGCCGTCTGTTAATACAGTCTATTTCCAGTTATTAGAATATGAAAAAGTTTAATATTTTTTGTCACTCTTTTCAGAAAGTTATATAAATTACACATAGAGTGAAGCTGTTAAACCATTATTTCTTGAAATTTTGGCTTACAGATAATGTGTGTCTGTGTGTTCTGGCTCTCGCTGTGCTGACTCCAGCCTCAGCCCACTCCTTGTGAATCTCCCCGAAATTCTTGAATGAATTTGCTTGACAATCCTCTAAAGGCTGTGGTCATCCCTTTTGCTTGTGCACCTTTTCCTACCACACTTTTTTGTTTCACTCAAGTTTCTCTGAAAATGCTCAGACACAGCACTCTGTGAACAATCAGCTTCTTTAGCGATGACCTTTTGTGGCATACCATCCTCGTGAAGGGTGTCAGTGACTGTCTTCTAGACATCTGTCCAGTCAGCAGCCCCATGATTCTGTAGCCCACTGACCCAGACTGAGAGACCATTTAAAGTCTCAGGAACCATTAGCCGGTATTTTGAGCAAATTAGCTGATTACTATCCAGCACCATGACCAATATTGTACAATTCACAATATTCACATTTTCTGACAAACTAAACTTTGGGTTTTTGATATCTGTAAGCCATATTCATTTAAAAAAATTCAAGAAATAAATGCTTGAAAGCTTCACTATGATTCTCTATAATATATAGGTTTGACTTTATGAAATGAGTGAGAAAAATATTGAACTTTTATATGATATTCTAATAATGAGAGATTGAAATATGATTAACTCATAAGGTAGTCTATGGTCTATTTTTAGCTCAAATGTTAAATACTGTGTCTTAAATTTTCAAAGTTAGATTCCTCTTAAATTGTTCAGTTTGAAGTTCACTGTAGATTTTAACACATACACCAGAGGGCGCTGTTTCATACCAGTAACTAACTACCCTCCTGTGAAGTTGAACAGGCTGCGCTCGAGCGCCACACCAGCGGTAGAAATCTCTCCGTGAGGCTCATGTCGGTGCCTCCTGCTTCTCCATGAGCCTCGGTGTGGAAGATCTTCACTGGAAAACTGCCCGAGCGATAAAACACTGCAGATTTGCTCCGGGGACTTGTCTCTCCGCATGAAAGACTACACAGACTTCTACCCCGACTGCACCAAAGAAGACAGGTGAGTAACGCCTCATTTACGCGCAACAAGCACACAACTTTTAAGCGCCGTGAAAACTGTAAAACTGGCCATGATCTTGTGGATTAAACGCAAAATGACGATGGGGTTAAATTTAAACCCAAATGTATTAGGTCCTATTTTTGGGTAATAGACATATGTTTACATCCGGGCTCCAGATGGTGCGGGTCACAGGTGTTGCAACGACTGTATGAAGTATAGGGTGACCAGACGTCCCTATTGACCCGGGACAGTCCCAGTTTTGAGACCTGTGCCCCCTGTCCCTGCAGATTTATATAAAACCACAGATTTATCCCAGTTTTATACAAGAAATGTCCCAGGTGTCCCTATTTTTAACCAGTTTGATCCCTGCCAACAGTAAAGAGAGGCATATATTGTAATTTGTTTAAGAAAAATACAAAAAAGTCTTCTTAAAAACGACCAAAACACAAAGAAAATGCGAGTATATTGGTCCACATGTTAGTCATGAATGGTCTCTACATAACAATTTTTCTTAATTACGCACTCATTTGACAAACTTATTATTATCAGCCACCAATTTTTTATTATTTTTATTTAGAAATTCTGGTCGCCCTAATGAAATAGGAATGAACTGACTGGTAAAGGTGCTCTGAGGAACTTTTTCGGTGGAGAGCTCTTGATTTTTAGGCTATTGTTTTACCTGAAATTATGTGGTTGTCTATCTTGCATTATTCAATTAGCAAAAACATGCATTCTTTCCGATACCATGGCTCACTTCTTCACAGATCTGAAATGTAACTTGGCCTAGTTGTTCCATGGAGGTGGCAAACCCTCCATCAGAAAAGTTAGATGGTGCAGCTTTCAATTACTATTTTTTTTTTTTTTATGATGTTGCCTCTTGTACTTATGTCTTTGTCTGCTTCTATTTGTGGTATGGGCAGAAATGGGAAGAATACTTTGAAAATTTTTAATGTATAGTTACAGAATACAGAATACCTCCATAAATTTGTATTTATTACCTCCACCAAGGAGGTTATGTTTTTGCCGGTGTTTGTTTGTTTGTTTGTCTGTTAGCAACATAACTCAAAAAGTTATGGACCGATTTTGATGAAATTTTCAGGATTTGTTGGAAATGTGAACTGATTTCATTTTGGGGGTGATCCGGAAGAAATCCTGGATTCTGGATCACTTTGAAATTTTAGTTAACATTGTGGTAAATGGGGCCAAAAATTTAGTTTCTCAATATCTCGGTTAATTATTGACCAAACCCCATGAAATTTGACTCAGGGATGGACAATCGGATCCTCTTTCATATTCCAAATTGAAAGATATGAGACAAATATTTATGGAAAACACAATTAATATGAGGGGGACTGTAGTCCTTGGCGGAGGTCTGCGCTCTCTGAGTGCTTTTCCTGTTTTTTTGTTGTTTTTTTTTAAGTATTCCGATACCCAATCCAATCAGAGTACTGTTTTCTCGATTCTTGGAATATTTTTTACATTGAGTTGCATTTAACTTGTAGTGTAAAAAGGCAACATAGAAAATAAAAACAGCTTTAGGTTTGTTTCACTGTTGGTTTTGCTTTTCCTCTGACTGACTGGAGAAGGAAAAATCACATTCACAACAGGAGTGGTTTTTTGTGTTTTTCTCACTAATTGTGCACAATCTTAAGACAAAATTGTGTGATCAAGTATGCCATATATTGATTTTAGGAAAGTAATTTTTTCTACATCCAAATAAACTACTGTAACTGTACCTGTATACAGCTACTCAAAATTTGTATTATGAATAATGTATTGTTGGTGTGTGTAGACTGTATAGAAGTCCACTGTCTATGGCAGCTCCCGGTCCTTTAGTTGACTCTGACTGGCCCGTTTAACTTCATTTGGAATTACAAAATAAACATATTTTAAAATTTTACCTCATACATGGACTAAAGCTGTATTGCTTTTATTTTAGAGGAGTTTGTTTAATGACATTTTTTGTAAGGCACCTCACTTTTCCATTGCTTAGTCATGACATAAACTCTCACCAGTCTTATCAGCTCCTCAAAACAATGCTATTTACTGCTTTTTATAAAGAAATACAATTAATGTTGCAGTGACTATTTGTCAAGAAAAGTAACAAACGCAGTGAGCAAACTCAGAACAAAAGTTTGTGGTTTACGCAGTGACAGAAAAAAACAAATCAATATCCATGACCAGAGCTGTATTTCCAAGATTTTTTTTCCAGTTTTTAGGCAAACAACAACATCAACATCAATTGGCACAAAACCATAGGCCCACACAGGTGCACCTTGGTCTGCGGGTAGCACCCTCTTTTATCCCCTAAGTGACCCAGATTAAAACAAAACAGAAAAGGTGCTAACGTAAATAATACCAAATTAGACTAAACAAATTGGCAAGCAAAGACCGATTATGCAAATTAACAAAACAAAATTAGTTAAAAAAAAACCAAAAAAAAAACATTAGAATAAACAAAATAAGCAAATAGCTCCTACAAATATTATGCAGAATTGAGTTTAGCATTTTGGCCTGGCCCCACAGTATTTTCTGTTTCTCATGTGGCCCCATGAGAAAAATAATTGCCCACCCCTGGTCTATGGATACAGCCAAGTAACTTTTTGATTGTTGTTTTGAAGACCTCTATTTAATGTGAATGATGCTGTAGTTGCATCGTCAGTTCCTCGTGATTGAGAAAACCTTGTATTCTTTCCGAAATGTCCATCTGTTTTGCCCATTTCTTGCACCTCTCACATCTTTAAATGTAGAAGGTCTAATGAATGCTGAAATCCATCATCTTTAATGTAGTTAAGCTGATAAAACCTGAGCCAGTAACAGTAATTACAGATAGAACTTGATAGTGCAGTTTGGTGGGTTTATTATTATTAATAGTTGATGACATGCTGTTCACCTGTGTAAAGCTGCCCAGTGCAAACCCAGATGCTCTCACTGGTGTTATTGTCTCAGTGGGCCTTGGATCATGTGGTCTGGACCTGTTGCCTGGAGACTGTCCCAGACCTCAACTATTTAATCTTATGAGTGGCGCCCCCTCCCCTCCTCTCCTCTCCTCTCCTCTCTTCTCTTCTCCTCTCCTCTCCCTCTCTCCTCTTTCGCCCAGTCTCCCTCTCGCTCCCCTCTACCCCTTTCTATGTCTCCCTCGACTCAAATTCCACACTTGTCCTCAAGAGAGCTGAACACGTCACTGTCCAGACCACAAAAGGGCCAAAGAAAATACAACAACAATCTCACTGACTGGACTGAACCTCTGTTCACCCAGTGAGTCCATTTGCAACTGGTCAACAGACTAGAAATACTGCTATTGTGTGGCTTTGAAGATATGCAAAATGTGAATATATTGTTATAATTTTTTTAAAAGCTGGAAAAATAGGTGATTTAAAATGAAAACTTATGTTGTAAAGTTTTAAATTAGGGCTTAAAGTGATATATTTAATGTATTTTCACAGTTGTCTCAACCTGAACCTCAACTAACTAGTCTACATTTAAAGGT